TATCTTAATTTACATACACCAAATAATTCACACACTATCAGATACTTACTCTTATTTTATTGTATGCACATTGTGTTGTAATAAGTGTGTAAGTAATATTAATAATAATAATAATAAGTAATATTAATAATTGTACATTGCGCAATTATTTACGATTTGCTTGATACGTATATTTTATTATACGTGATTTATTAAATCCCATATTACATTTTAGTTGCTATGCATTGAATTAATAATGTAACCAATTATATGTATTTACATATTATAAATATAGGTATATAAATGAAAGCTTGAATAAAAGGGCAACTGTTTTTACTGCCGACTTCATCGTATAAATCAAAACCACTATGTTCTAAATTTCGTGCAAAACTTATTATGATAATTTAACAGCTACAATTGACTACTGAAGTAAAAACATTTTAATTGGAGCTAATATACCACAATATTAAATAAAAATTAAAGTTATGTTTGTTTAATTGTTTATTTATAATAATTTATTAAATATACCAACAAGTTTTGTTAAGATAGGGCCCAAAAGTATTGTAGGCACCCCCTGAAATACAGGTCTGCACACGCCTATGAATATCATCAAAATGCCGGTCAGAGCTCGTCCTAAAAACAATGTACCAATGTTCTGCATTTTCTGCAGCAACGAAATCGTGAAAAAATGTAAATTTTTTAGTTATGTCAAATAATATGATTGTTCTAATTTCATTTGTTCAGTATTACAAGAATTGTATGTAGCTACAGACTTGTTCAATTTTTATTTTTAACTCAAAACCTTTTTGTTTCTAGTATCTACCAATTTAGTGTTGAAATCAATTATTACTTATTAGCAGCATTGTGCAAAGAAAACTAAAAATATATCGAGATAAAGATAAGAAATAATTGGATACAATTTATCTAGATAAAGGTAAAGGAAAACATTTTTTTTATTTTATTAATTAATTTACACTTTTTTTTATAAATGTATACTTAAAAATTAAATTAAATTAAAATTTACTTAACTTTGACCTAATAGGTACCTCTGATATAAATAATGAACAAAAAATATTTATATTATGTATATTTATGTATGGGAAATAAGTAATAAATAATAAATAGGTGATTCATTTTTTAAAAAAAATACATTCTTTGTTGGTATAATATGGTTTTATAAAAAAATGTATTACTATTTGTATAACACTTATTATGGAGTAATATTTATGGTTAAAATATTAAAAAGTTAATTAAACCATAATCTGCATTATTTAATTCTATTTCTTAGGAATCAAATATTTTAAGAGTCACTAGAAAGAGTAAATTAAATAGTCTTTATTAAATATGTAAACAATTCTTAAAAATAATACTTATAGGCTTAATTTAAATAGTAAAACTAAACATATATTGCAGTAACACTACTTTTATAATAATAGTAATTAATTATAAAGTTAATAAAGTTTTTATTAATTTTAAATTTTTATTAGTTTTTAACTTTCAAGTTTAATTTTTCGAATTTTCAATTTTTGATACCATTTATATAACTCCAGCCTAATGTGCCGTTGTCAACTTATTGGACATGAAATTATTATTATATATTATATTATATTATTCATCCAATTATTGTATAAGATACTCGTATATATTTTTTTTACAATTTTTAAAGTATTTTGTAGTATTATTGTCATTGAGTAATCAAAATTTTGTATATATTTATCTATCTAATTTTTTAATAGACATTAGATGCTGTCGAGATAATATAGCCAACGCAGTATTTATTATCAATCTAAAATATTTCAGCGACTTGGTAACTAATATATTTTAGTACAATTGTATCATATTACAATATATTTATAATAAATTATATGAATCAGATTTTTTTTTTTTTTAATAACCGCAAATTTCTTGTATTTTGAATATTGAGTCCTAGGTCATGACTGATTTCTCAGTATCTTCTCACTATTATCTAACATTGTGAAATTTATAGCAGTAAGATTAAAATGTTTGGCATTATGTAATGATACAGTTAACAATTAAAGTATACAGCATATATAACATGATGTAGTTTCTTCTTTAGATATTAAAAACAGAATATTAAGTGAGTGTGACCTATTCGAATTCGGTTAATTTTATTTTATTTCTCTGCAGTGGATAATCACAATTCAAATTTTCAAGTCATTCAAAATATAAATACTGTAGTTTAATAAAAGGTATAAAATAATACAGTATACATTATATCTAGAGTAATGTATATAATATCTAAAGTATTTATTTATATTATGTCTTGGTATATTATAAGATTTAGCTTTGATTTTTAGTAATTCTTGCCATTTACTTATATCAATTTTAGAACGAATTAATTTAATGGTAGGTATTCCAAAATGGAAAGTAAATATGTGTACTATACTAACAAGTACTTATAGATCAAAATATTATGATTTAAAAAGAAATAAAAACTGATCTCGTCTTTATGAATACATATATATATATATATATGAATAGATAAATTCTTATTTAGTTAGTAACTATTTTGAATAAGTAATTTATACATTGTAAATTATACATTTTTAACAAGATGAGCTACTACTGCATACAGCCGAACGGTTGTGACATTTTTTAGGAATGGTAAAAACTTTTAATTAACGTCTTTAAATTGAGTTAACACAATGAGTGTGAACTTTATGAGTTCTGACAGGACGGCTATAATTATAATAATTTTTTATTTCAATGACGGCAATATAATTATATTTGCTTTTTGCGAAATATTATCATACATTGATATCACCTAATAGTCCCTATAACTATAGTTGTCAACATTTCATTTCTATTCGGGAAATGTATTAGGTGTATTTAAATTGCTCCTATTATATCATACAAAAATCCATGTCTTACGTACAATAATAGTTATAATAATATAACAAAAATAATTAAACATAATGCAATTTTAAGAACGACAGGAATATCGTGTACGTAATAAGTTTGTATTATTAAACATATATATATTTTATATTGCGTACAATTTAGTGTACATAATGATATTATATTGATAACAATGTAAGTTTACACACTTCACTACAAATACGATATTTTATTGTTACCATGATGACTCATGTTTTTTTCTAAATTTTTAATACAAACCTACAAAAATGTAAAAATATCAAGGTCGCAAATCAAACACGTTTATTACGAAATACTATATTTCTTAGAGTGCTATTTATTATAGTTTATGTACTGTCTAATGTTCATATTTACTACCCTTTAATAAGTTTGTTATGCATATAGGATTTTCTTCTTGCCCCATGGTACGTCACAAATGCCGCTCTACACGAAGACCTCAATGTCCCATCCATCAACCAGATTGCAGTCAATTTCTATTCAAGACTACACTTCAAAATGCAAAGCCACCCAAACCAACTTATATCTCAACTTCATTCTAATACACTTCCAGGCAACCCTACCCGACGCCTTAATCGGAAATGATCCAAAGATCTTCTCAACACCCAAAATTAATTTAAAATTCATGTAAAGGTAGCTCTACTGTGAGCTTTCCTTTTCACCGTCCCATCACTGTCATTCCTCCAACAAATTTACTCATTGTACATATAATAGTACAGATTGTAAATATTCAATAAACGATATTTTATTAAAAAAAAAAAAAAAAATGATTTTCTTCTTCTACGTAGAGGAAAAACTCTTTGGGAATCGTGATACTGGACAAAACGAAATTTTTATAATGTTATATTAATGCAAACTGTGCAGATACTAAAATATATTATTTAATGTTTTTTTTTTTTTTTTTGTTAGTTTTATGGGATTTTTAATTGTTAACAATTATATTTTTCATTCTAGCACACAAATTAATGAACTTTTTCGTTAGATGACGCTCATCGTCAATATAAATATGACACAATGAAAGAGAAAACTAGAGCATTCTTATACCTAAATAAACTATTACAGTGTCAAAGAAATGTATGATATTCTTTCTTTATTTATTTATTAAATTTTATTAAATTAATTAATTATATAAATATATGTATATAATTATAATTTATAGAATTAAATATATATATATATATATATATATATATATATATAATATTAAATTGACTATTTGCTCATTCAATATGAATTCTAATCGTAGTATACAAACTTAATGTAATTAACATTTTTTTTCCCTTTGTGCAAAGTGTATTACAAGTAAAAGTACAAATAATGAAATTGTGTCTTGTTAAAAGCTTTTCTGTTAATAACATAATATGTCTAGTGCAATCATTTCTTGCGATTGGTCTATGGATTTTTAACTTATATTTGAATATATACTATAGGCATTTATTGTTTAATAATAATAAAAATTTGATTGCTAAATTTTAGATGAATATAATAATAGCAATACATAGTGTAGGTATAATTTCTAAGGAGCAATACAATTTTTTTCTAACTAAGATAAAATACTTGTACACAAAACTGAGACTAAAAATATGATGTGTGGGGGTCTATGCGTGTATAGTTTATTATCTTACGCACACATTCGCAATTATTACATCGCAAAAACAGAACTGTCAATTCATTTTCAAATAAAAAACTACAGTTTAAATTACGATTGAAGGACGTTTATCAGAACTATTAAGTATTATTACAAAGTTATTCACAATAACGTAAGATAACGATTAAAACTGAAACCACTGTGATTCTAATTTACAAAAAAAATGTAAGTCAAATAGCTTTAATTCATTATTTTTATATTTTGTTGTAATTTGGAAATGGATCAGAATCGCTTACCGCATAACTAAACTATCTTATTTAAACGTTACCATGTAAATATTGAGATACTGACATAATATAGTTTGATTATAAAATAACTATTTCAAATCTGACTTCTCCGTTTGTTGTGACACTGGGCTATACTTTAATATATTACTTTTTACCATGTATTAACCAAATCCATAACTAACATCGTTGCCATAGAAACTATTTTGTGTACTTCAATATTTTCAACAGTATAGTTTAAATGATGGTATTTAATAACCTTACATGTGCACTAATATAGATTAATAATCCTAAGTAATTTTATTTCTATTCGTATACTTACAATTCTGTAAATTTATTACAACCGTGAATATGGCAGATCGCGAAAACAAAATCATTGATGTAATGAAACAGTTAGGTTTTGATCATGGCTTTCACATACCAGTGGCTAACGAAGAAAATAAATTACTCGAAAAAGAGGTAACATGTATTACAAAATAAATGACTTTGTATAAATTAACAGAAAATTTTTAAATACGATTTACCACAGTTCTTTTAGTAAAATACCAACATTTGATAAATGTACGATTTAAAAAAAAAAAAAAAAATAAATAAAAAAATAATTGTAAAATATCAAAGTTTTAAATAAAATCACTATAATAAATTAAAATATTATATAATTATAATCAATATGATAAAAATATCTTTAATTTTATTCTTACGATATCTTGTCAAACTTACTTATTATATCCTATTCCTTGTTTTTTTTCCAAATATTTACTTGGTATCTATTTGTTAACTTGGTTAACTATTTGTATCTATTTTATTATAATGAATTGTTAAACAGGTTGAAGAAATGCTTAAAAAAAAAGCAGAGTTATTGATGTTGGATGATTCATTAGATTATGACATCCGAGAAGGAAAAAATATTATCACCAATCTATACAATCAAGAGGCACAAAATCAGGTAAGTTAATTGAGTTAGAATTTTTTTAACTGATTTAAAGAGATTTTTTTAAACATTTTTTATTTAAAGAACATACCTACTATAAAATCGATTTTTAACCTATTGAAAATTAAGTGTATTCAATTTATACTTAAACCTTATTAATATGAATTTTTTGTAATATGTGTTTATTTAAAAATTGTGTTCAAGGCATTAATATAATTAATATATTATGAAACATAAAATATATGTGTCAGTGTATACTTTATTTTGATAAATACGTTTCTATATTTATATGTTTTACGTTTTTTTTTTTTTTTTTTTTTTATATAGAATTTGATCGTAACCTATCGTCAACAATACGAGACTGAAAGTCATATGTTACAATTAGAACAAAATAATAATGAAAAAATTAAACAGGAAAAAAAAGAAGCTGAAAAACAGTTAAACGAAATGATTCAGATGCTTAGTAAATTAGAAGTAAGGGATATTATTAATATTTATTATACAGTTTAGAACTAAAATCTAGTATTTTATGTGAACTATGTACAAAATATAACGCACACCCTGATTTTAACTAAAGAAAAGATATTCAATAGAAATTTTATGTTTGCTAAATTGATATACTCGTAGATATATTTATATAGAGAAAAGTCAAAAGCATTACATTAAAACAAACTTATTTAGGTACTTGAAAAGATAATTCATCTTTTGATATTAGAGTGAAATCCAGGATGAATAAATGAACTTTATAACAGTCCGAATGTTTATAAATTATGGCTATTGATAATAAATAGAAAAAGTTAGTCTGGCCTGTGAGTTTTTATCTATATTTCGTGAAATTTTCTCATTGCACGTGCTGACTAAATCTCGTGGCACGTAGAATAAATATGCATATGTATATTGAAGAGTTCGTTCATCATTCCGGAAATACGAATTATTCATTTGAAGTGCCAGTTAAATGAATATTACTTCACGAACCTACTATCGAATCTCCAAAGACTAAATACATTAAATTATAGATATATAGAACTTAGGATATCATTCAATGCACTAAATATTCATAGCTAATATACTTAGATATTTTTTGATATTTTGATAGATTTTAAATTTAAAAGTAAATTTCAAGAAAATATATATTATTCAATCATTCAGACCATTGTGGTCGTTTTACATCTAAAATGTATTAACAATTTTCTTTCTAGTCTTAATTATTTTACTTTCACCAAAATTAAAATCAAATTAAATTTATATTAGTTACACAATTTACTGTTGGTAATTGAAAATATTATTACTATTGATTTATTATCATTTATCGTAAACAAAAAATTAGTTAATAATTATTATCGACAGATATTTAAAAATTAACCACGGATCGTAAGTATTTTTAAATGTTACACTACTACGTAATATTAAACAGATAATTATAATAATAACAATACAGCAAATTATTTTAAGGATACTGAATACAAAATTGTATAAACAACTAATGACTGGCATAATAGTACTAGGAAGAAAAATGTATTCATCATAAAATATTATTGTATGGTTATTACTGAAAAAAAGGTCATCTTGATCTGTCAAATTACCGTTAGATAACTATGTAGTGCGGAGGTCTATTGTTATTAACCCAGTTCGATCTGTGTTTAGAAAAAAATATAATATTATTTTTTATTATATTCCTCTTCGAATACAACATTTTTCATGTTTGTCCAAAAATGGAAAGAATTTTTTCATGTGAAAGTTTTTATTTTATTCACTTAAAACTAAATAAAATTTAAATGTTTACGATTTAGGTAAGCGTAACGTAAAACATTAATTTTCTTCTGTATTGCGAAACGCAATGTGTTGTGTTGAATTTTATGAACATTTGATAGTATGATTATCAATGTTATCTAATATCAATACAATATCATTCATAGTAGATAAATAATAAATAAAAATGTACAATAAAGTAAATATTAAAACGATATTTAAATTATTTAAAAAAAACATTTTTGGCTTATAGATTTATATTTTATATTTTTATAAAAGATATTTTCATTTATTTTTTTTTCACGAACAAACTGTGTAACTGAAAGTGTCTACAACAGATTCATGATGCATGTACTTTTTGAGTAAATACATTTGAAATAGAAAGTATTCTTAGATTATCACTTATCGACTTTCTTATTGATCAGTTTACCTGAGGGATCGAAAATACTAAAAACAAACTTGAAATTAATAACCGTTTATGCGAGTATCTCTTTTGATATAATTAGATATTTTGGTTTTATTCATATAATATACTAAATATTATTTAGTAAATACTTACTACACAGATCGTCCCCCAGAAGAACACCTGGAACAGCTCATATCCGACAATAATATCACATTAAACTATTTACCTCATCAAACTCCTTTTTCCAAATAAATAATAATGTTTTTCACAAAATAACCCGAATAATTTAGAAATTAAATCATAAAAAAATTGCTTCAGAATGCCGTTTAATAGTTAAATTAATTTCAAATAAAACATCTTTAGTATGAAGTTTTTCTAGTTAAAATATTTAGCTAGATTCTAATTATATACTTAGACATTGTGAAGAAACATTAATAATAAATCAAAATTATTTGGTTATTAGTATATTACATGAATTTTATATTATTATTAGAAAAGCTTAATATCAATCAATTGGTTTTATGAAATTGTTTCTCTTGATTTTTTGATTATAAGAAAATTGGTAGACAAAAATTAGTTTATAAATTAATTATTTTTAAGTTAATTAAAATTATAGAAACCATTCAAACCATGGATGTAATTTATTCTTTTTGGGAAAATTATATACTCATAATGATATAAATTTTGTTCCAATTAAGAATTATCGAGTGTATCAATGTTGTTTAGAGTGAGATGACAAAAACTGAAGAACTCATAATAAAAAAAAGAGAAACTATCGAGTGGGGAGAAGAAACGCTTTTAGCATGGAACAATGACCTGGCCAAACGTGATATGGATGTTAATCTTCTTGAGGCTTATCATTTAGAAGATGATGACCGATTCAAAGTAATAAAATAATAACAGCGATGATTTTTTTTTTTTGTTAAATATTAATGTGATGTATATATTACAGGAATTAGACTTACGGAGACAACAGCTTCAACGAGAAGTGATTGAAAGAGAAGCAACAGTAGAAAAAGAAGTGAATGAGTTACTTCAAGTAGAAAGAGAGCTGGAACAAACTGCTAAGCTAAATAGACAAGCACAACAAGAAAGAAACCATTTGCTGGAACAATGGGAAAATTCAGTTAATTTTTGTACATCTAACCAAAAATATACGCAAAATATTGTTGAAGTAAGTACCTAAATTGTTAAGAAAATTATAAATCAAAACTATAAATTACATCACAAATTACAGGAGATCAATAAAATCAGAGAAGCGGCTCGAGAAATTTATAATAAAAAGAAAGAAAATGAACAGAAATACCAAGATTATAAAGAGGATAATGAAGAACTGGAATATGAAATTACCAAAATAAAAAAAACTAATGATGAACTCAGACGATTGATACTAGCTAAACAATCAGAAAATGAAAACTTACAATCAGAGGTCAAAATTTTCTGTATTTATTATTAAAAAGTACATGAATAATATAAATAAAATAAATAATATTGCCAAATAGGTATTAACTGCTCAAAAATCTCTGAATGTTATATGTAATAAATTATCCAATGAACGCACAAAACGTAAGCATATGCAAAATGAATTAGTAAAATTGAAAACTCAGATACAAAATAAGGAAGGAGACATAGAAAAAATTAAGAATAACATATCAGAATTAAAAAATAGTTCGATGACTAAAGAGGAAAGAATATGTGAATTAAATAAGATTGCTGAAGTATTTATCTGATTTATTCATTTGAAATCATAGAGTATCTTTTAGTAACTTATTTTATTTTAGAATCAACAAGTTAAATCTGAACAACTCTTGATTGAAAAAAATAAAGTGATAAATATGACAAATAGTGTAAAATATGAAATAAAACAGTTGCAAAGTAAAATAGATTTATTAACAAATAATTTAGATCAAAGTCGTACCAAACAAAGTGTATTGAGTAAAGAAGAATTTAAATTAAAACAATTAATTATGGACAAAAAAGAAGTCTTGTATAACTTGGTAAGTGTTACTATATTTCAAAAACTCATTAATTTATAAATAAGTATATTATTTTAGAGCTTTCAATTGGAAACATTGCGCATAAACTGTGCCAAAATAAAAGGATCAGTGAATCTTGAAGAAATGCATGATTTTCAAGAAAAGTTGAAAACGCGCAAGGAAGAATTATATCGAATCGAAGAAAATCAGCGTCAGTTAGTAAACCAGTTAAAATCTGTTGAAGTAAGTTTTAATGGAGAATAAATTAAAATTGGAAAAATATTTTATTTTCAAATTTATTGAATTGACGCATTTTAGAGAGAAACCAAGCGCATAACGAAAGATATCGAAAAAAATACAATGGAGTTAAAAACAACTCAAAATCGGGTTGAAGAGTTATTTATTCGTAATGCAGGAGGTTAATACAATCATTTAGTTATAGTAAAGATTAAAATAATTATAATTTTTGTTTTCCACTGTGTAGACGAAAAAGAAATTCAGTCGTTGAAAGAAAAAAACCATCGCTATCACATGGAAGAAATGATGATGAAACTCAGAATGGAACAAATAAAGAAGTTGACAGAAAACGAATGCAAAAAAGTGTATACAATAGCTCAACAAAGAGATGAAATTACTTGGGTATGTGTAGTAGTACGTTATCAGTAGTGATAACATAGTCAGGGTGATTGTGAGACATGTCCCCTTATATCTGTTACGGGTAATGTTAACATTTGGATATTGTTGACATTATCCGGTTAATGTCAACATTAGCCATCTGTTATGGCTAATGTGTAATTTTTCGTTTATAAGCAGGAATTATTAACATTATTCGGATAATGTTAACCTTAACCAGCCAATATTGGACAATGCTAAAAGTTGAATATTAAATAGACTATAGAATTTTTATTAGCGTTCTATACAATAATAAAGCGTTGGACTTCCAGAGTATTATATTTTATCTTGACTTGTAACCGAGTTAATCAGTTATCTTACCGATTAAGTGAACAATATTTCGATATATTGATGTATAAATGCAAATCTTCTAGCATTTTGTGCAATTCAAAATGTCACGGAAACATGCCATGTAATAATAAAGGTTAAAACATTAGCATTTTAATTCTATAGCTACTTAAAATAATATTTTAAGAAATAATTTATAATATAAAATGGAATTTAATATTGTATCATTAGTAGGTTAGATTATTAAAAATAAAAAATAAATTCATATTAATAATATTATGTATTTTAGGGTAATTAATAATTTATTGTATGTTAAATATATTTAATATTGTTAATCATTTACAATGACTTTATTTCATGCACGTTAAATTTTTAGGGTTGTTAAGACATTAGCCAACATTTAATAATATTCATGGCGGGCAATGATAACATTTGGCTAATGTTAACTTTAGCCGGATAATGTTGACATTATCCAAATGTTAACATTACCCGTAACATATCCATAAATATAAAACTTTATCGTTTTTTCTTTATTTTTATTTTAGTTTCACTCTTCTTTTAGAAATTTTGCCTACACCATTTTTTTCTAATTCATAATATTGTAAATGGATGATATAGTTGAAATTAATTACCAAACGGTTTTGTTTGTGCTTGTAATTTAAGGGCATAAACAAAAGAAAAGCCGAATTGGCAAGCTTTTACGAACAAATGAAAGCGGAGAAAAAAATATTGCTAGAGGAGATGTCATCGGCGAAACGTAATTTGGATGCTTTGGTCCAGCACATCGAACAACGACGAAACAAGTATCAGATATTATTGACGTCAGTTGGAATGACAGATGATGACAAAGACGACTGCGAATATGACGATGATCAGTCGTTTTTCACGATTAGCGAGCATCGGATAAGAGTACTACAAGAGAAACTCGAACTACAGGACATAGGCGACACGTTGGACGAGAGCGTACAGAATCTGGAATCCGAGATCAGGGCCATGGAGAACACGTTGCACGTAATGAGTGCCTCCAATAGCTGTTACAAAGCCAACTTGTCTTCCGTGAACCCAGCAAGTCAGTTGATTAATTAAATTACTTCTGATAACTGGGTATTTATAGAATTCATTTATTTGTATTGTTTTAGGTGACGAGTACAAAGAAAAGATCGTTCTTGAAGAGACGATAGAAGAACTCAACGGTTTGTGGTTGCAAAAGAAGAAAACTGTTGAAAATACCAAAAATAAAATAAAAGTGAGTGCTTTTATATGTATGTACTAAACCCGATGCCAGTGTAGAAGTGTTACCAGATATACTTCTAGGTAATAAAAGTGACAGATGTAGGTGCAGAGGTCTTTGAATCCTATACCATTTTGAGCGTTTCGTGTTAACTATTTAGCTGAAGAGTTAGAGATATTATTTACATAGGAAACTATTTTCAAGTGGTTTATAGTACAAAGAATCTAACCTTGCAATCAGTGCCGGATTACCCATTAGGCGGAGTAGGCACCCGCCTTAGGGCCTCACTCATTTAAGGTTTCAACTTTGTCTTAGACCATTGGTTCCCAAACTGGGAGGCACGCCCCATTCAGGGGGCGTGTACACATTGCTGGGAAGTCGCAAGCAGTTATTATGAAGTACAATTTTATTGATTGATTACAAATATTGTATAGTTTATATCAGGGGTGGCGAATCTTTTTTGGTTCAAGTGCCAAATTTTACAAATTAAGGATTTGAAAATCGTTCACGTGCCCAAAGAAAATGATATTTTCTAAGAATAAAATTAAAATTACAGATATATTACATTATTTTTATTAAATTTTTGTAATTCCTGGTAAAACACAAGCAGCAATCGTTTCATTGGTCGAAAAATGTATTTCTTTCAATTTTATTTAATTTGTTATGGCTTTCACAAACATAAGTTGACGATAAATATAAAAGCATAAGGAATATTGTCATTTATAAAATACATAAAATATAACTTTAATTATTATAATATTATATAAATAAAGTATAAATAATATAAAAAACATATAATTTGTTTCTTTGAATTTCTTATAACCAACATTTTTTAAACAGTATAATTTTTTTTTGTGTACAATTTTTAAAAATTTTAATTTTTGCTCGTGCCATTAAAATTTGATCAGCGTGCCACTTCTGGCATACGTGCCATAGGTTCGCCACCCCTGGTTTATATTAAAAAAAAAAAAAAAAAAAGGGTGATTTTTCAATTTATAGAAGAGGGTGTAAAACAGAAGAGGTAGAGAATCACTGTCTTAGGCGGTCCCATGGTCTTTCCCCATTTAACTTCCTGATCAAGATTTATTTAATGCTATTCAATAACCAAACATTACCTGCCAATTCGAGTCATTCGCTCAGTAATCAAACATTTTTGCTTGATTTTTTATAGACTAATTGAAATTCTATAATTGTTTTCTTTTTGTACACTTAATTTGCCTATAATTTTTGAATTTATCTAACCATCTAAGTATCATTTTTCAAGACATTTTTTTTTGCTTGAGTATTTGACTAATAAAGTTTATTTGCATTTAATTAAAATATAAAAGCTGATATACTTGCCTATGGGATGATTTTCAAATTTTTTTTTCAAGAATTTTCTTTTTTCTTTTAAAAAGTATTAAAAAGTTTTCAAAAATTCCATATATAGTATATATAAAAATTTCGTGTCACGATGTATGTTCGCGATAATCTCCGAAACTACTGGACCGATTTTGATGAAATTTTTTACACCGTGTGTAATTTAGTCCAACTTAAAATATAGGATAGTTTTTTTTTCAAATTTTTTAATATTTTAAATATTTTAATTAACTTTTTAATAAATGTGTATAATTGCATGGTGTATTTCTGGTTTTCCCGTGACCGACCGCGACAGTATCTATATAGCTACCTGTAATCTAACCTTTTTTCTATTGTGTGTGTTTTATCGTCGGCGGCGTGTAGATATGAATTGTTCCGAGAATTATATAACTAACCTAACCTATGGTTTTTATCTCAATATTATTTTTTGCATTGCAATTATTGTAATAAATATATAGGATAGTTTTTATCTCAATATTATTTTTTGCATTGCAATTGTTGTAATGAAGAAAGTTATAGAATTTTCGAGAAATGTTCAAAGGTATAAAATGCAAAGTTCGGTACGACGTAAATTCAGAAAATATATATGTTGGTTTGTACTTAATTTCAACATTTAGATACTTTACCTATTACTTTTAAATTTTCTCATACATAATAACACTAATACATGGCCTACGAAAATGCCAAAAAACCAACTAATACGCGGGCAACGCCGTGTCGGGACAGCTAGTAGTATACAAATATGTATATTGGTACTAATTTGATTAAACCATGTAATTTACAAATTATATAATATTATAATTCATTATATACTTTAGGATTTAGAAGATCAGTATAAAACGAAAAATGAAGAGTTAGAAAGTTTAATTAATCTTCGGGACATTTATAAATGCGATCTCGAACGTGTGCTCAAAGAGGCTGATGAGCAAACGAATAAATTTAATCGAGTGAATAGCCGAATTCAGTTTGAAATGAAAAAAATTGATAAGAAATGTGATCCAGATAAACGAAATACGCTCGAGTTAATTAAAGTATGATATTATTAAATTATTGCTTTTTCATATATCAAAATGAGATATTGGATCAAATATTTTAAAAGTTTTGTTGAAGAAAAAGAAATCCCTTTTTCTATGAATAGATAATTGTTGTAAGTAATCATATTTAATGCATACGATGTACTTACTTACATTTAATATATAATTTATTTAAATTAGTTCATATTTGATATTTATTATTATTTAGTCATTTAATAACCAACAAAAATATCTCCAACAAGCTATAAATATAGCAAAGATCTATGGAGTAAGGAAGTGGTTTTGATTATTTTTTATTGCACCCATTATTATTCAAATCTTATTCAAATTTATAATGCAAAACACTTTAATATTATTACATGTCAAACAATGATCAGATTCGAAAATCAGTGAAATAATACAAGAAAAATCGATTTTGAATTGACTATACTTAAATCTAAACTATTTTATTTTACACATAAATTGTACATTTTTTATCAATTATAGTTAAAAAAACGACGGTAAAAACAGAATTCAATTTTGAAAACTGTACAAACACAAAATTAATAGTTTATATTAATTATAATGGTATTTTCACAGCGGGACATCGTGGTCAGGATGTTAAAAAAAATGAACAAATGTGTTTTGGAACAAATGTCAGAAATGTCTGTACGACATATCGGAGTCGAACCGACCGTGAAACAGTACTTGTCAGAAAAGGGCTTGGAATTACCCACCGTGTCAGGTCTGATGCTAAACAAAATAAAATCTAGTTGCGGTTCGAGTGCCATGTCCTTAATCAGCAGTAATAGCAGCATAAAAAGGTGCAAAAATCAAAACTTTTAACAACTAGAAAAATATAATAAGTGATAATGTGATAAGTTCAGTATAAACAAGAACCATACAAATGCTCTTTATACACAGTTATACACAGTAACAAAAAAAATGTCATGTAATTTTTTTATTGTTTATATTATGAAGCTATAGGAATCAGAGAGTGTCATGAAACAAATATAATGTTCTGATTTTCATTTCTGTATAGAGCCTTATTAAAAATAATATAATTATAATTAGTACAGCTATATTTTGAGAATTTATATTTATTTATTGTATTTGATACATATTTACACTTTTGACGGTAGAAACAATCTAAAATAAAAATTAAACAACGTAACAACCATTAAACCCACTTAGTAATTTAATAAATTCAACCGAAATGTATGAACAATATTTTTATAAAGAATATTTTTATTTACTATGCAAAATAATGTTGTATAGGTATTAAAATCATTTATTAAAATCAACTATTATTTTGATTGGTACATATTTTATATTAAACAAATTAATTTCAGTTTTTCAATTAAAATACAATTACTTACTAATCGAAATTCACTTTATTTTATTATTTAACAATCAAGTTCGATTTAACTGCATTGATAATTAAAATAATAAATATAACTAATATTAACGACAGATATTAATGTTAAAGTATAAAGTTGAATTTTGTAACAGAATATACGTTTTGTCTGAATGAAATCTGTTTGAAATAATTTAAAATTGAGAAACAAAAAAATAAATTACTGTCATATGAGTTTTAAGAATATTAATAGTATTTATAGTCTTGTTGGGGAGAAATAAAAATAGTGATACACTCATATTTAAATGTATAACAATAATGATAATATTCATTAGTATCAGTAGTATTAGATTAATAAACTTTAATAATACTATCAAATATTAATAAAATTACAGCAATTCGGACGAAGACAGAAAGAGTTTGTATTCTGTGATCAATTTGGAGCCTTCGCCTAGAGGTTACCTCCGGAAATCCGGTAAGTGGCTGTATTGGGATATATATCATTATATATTATTATATATATAAATATTATGATAAAATGATAATTTTATTCATATTTATTATAAAGAATATAAAGAATATAATTTGACTAGGATAGTATTTTTAGTTGTTTAGTTTTAGTTGTTTAATCCACTAGTATAATATTCGTTATAGTAGCATAGATAAATAGTAGCTTGAAAAAAATGGAAAAAAGAACATAATTTTCATTCTAAGTTGTTTGATATCAAAATCTAAACAATTATTAAGTTGTGTCTTTTATTTTTTTTGTTTATGTTATTAATTTTCTGATATTTCTTCCAACAGATGCTTCAATTGCTAATAAAACATAAAAGGTATAGTTGGATCCATTGGACTACATATAAAGAGAACGTTAAGATAAAATATCATACACACTTTAATACAAAATCACCATGAAATGGGAATGTCGACTTTTGTTTTATGGAAAATTAGTAACCAATTAGTAATAATTTGTTTTATAGAATTTGTAATTTTTAATCAAAAATGTAACAAAAATGAACAATGTTTCTGTGTTCAGGTTGCTGGGCTTATGTCAGCACAGTACCTGAATAAAATTTTCTACTTTATTTTATCAAAAATAAGTGACCAATTTGTAATAAACATTTTAATTGTTAATTTTTTACCAAACAAAGATTTTTGTATTAGGGTTATATCAATATATATGCTAGCATTACGCAAATTCCTATTTCAATCTGAGGTAAGCTGCTATTAAATATGCTGTTTAATCAAAATTAATTATTGTTGTAAGGCACATGGTAAATATTGTTCGCATGCATTTTAACTGAACTACGATACAAAGTTTTACAAGTTTTCAATTACTATAATATCAATAATAATAATAATAATAAAGTAGTGATAATAATGATATTGGTTGAGGTTATTGACAAAACAATGTTCTCCTGTGATAGTTAAGTTGGAAATGTAAAATTTATAAAAAAAAAAATGTAATTAATATTTTTAATTATTAATTTTTATTTTTTGGTGTTAAATCACATGATGTATAAAATGTTGCATTATGGAGGAAATAATATTTCTTAATAATATTCTTTAGCGTTTCTCAAACTGTGCTTCATGGAACCTTAGGGCTCCACGAGAGAAGTCTATACTGTGGTTACATTTGAGTAAATTAAATTCAAATACTATTTCATTTCTAAGTTATCGAAGAAAAACACTGGTACGATTACTTGAATTGCGCAATGCATTTTAGGTTTTAGTAACACTCATTTAATTTAAAAGTCAGACTTACATTGACTTTATTGATTGGCTGATATTTTCACAAAATAAAATTAAGTAAATTTATCAATACAAGATAAAATGACAACATTTTTATAGCAAATGTGAATCCGAGTAAATCCAAGCTTTTTTACTCAATATTAAATTGGCAATTATTGTTGTCTCAAATTTTTGGGACTCCATAAATTTTTTTAGCAACATAAGGGCTTCGTGAACCAAAAATTTTGAGAACTACTGCTATACTTAATGAATTGAACAATAGATACCTAATCATTCTTTACTTTTATGGGTGCTGATTAAAAATTATATTTACTCTATAGTTAATTCGTTAATATTTACCTCTATGACATTATTAATATAACATTATAACATAATTTAATTGTTTTACATTGATGTAACCATATTTGATATTTTATATATTTTACTATTTTCCGTATGCTCGGACGCCTTATTACCGCACATACACACATACCTATATATGTCTATCAACCTACCTATCTACAGAGTAAATACTTATATTAAATAACACATCGTGCAATATTTCATACAGTAAAACAGATGTTATTTGTTACTAATATGGTTTTAGAAGGAAACCATCCCGTTAAATTATTCAATTATATAACCTTTATGCGTCAGTACTTTGCGATAATAATGGGCTTGCACACATTGCAGCGGTCTCCGCAGGCGCCTTTGGGGGTGGATTAGCGTAATCGTTTTACAAAGTATATACCGGTCACTGTTCATCACACAGCGAAGAGGAAAACTTCGTCCGAGCATGTGACACTACCCATACATAATAATATAAATACATTTATAGGTGAGTGTACTTAATCTATTTATTATCATTCATTACGTGTAAATACAATTAATACAAATCATCAGCTTATGTCGAAAATTCCTTTGCTCGACCAATCCCCGCCTCCTTTCTCCTGAGTACAGTGTATTCTTTTATTTGTCTAAAACTTTAACTATTTACCGCGCAACATCCCGCTTTCACGGCCTATACACCATAACGCAGTGGCGTATACAGAAAATATTTTCGGGAAGGGCTACTATGGACAGAGTTAAATTACCACAGTTATCTAAGAATTACTAACAAGACTCAGTAGGTACTTATCTACATTTAATTTACAGAATGTCCCAAAACGATTTGACATTAGACGCAAATTCTAAATAAACATAAAGCACTATTCAAATATAAAATTCGTTTAAAATAATTTTTAGGTTTTTTAAAACATTTCGGGGAGGGGGGGCTGTAGCCCACTAGACCCCCTTTTATATACGCTACTGCCATAATGTATAAGAACGTGAATATTTTGTTTTATAATACATGTATCGCATAGAATCATCAAAACGCGAGTGCACTTTACTAACACTCGTCATCCGATCCTTCCAAAACGAATGCGTTTTGTCTACGTAACGCATTATAGACAAAGCATAAATAGCCAACATTGCTTTCAAAATATTTTTAATAAGATAAATTAATATTTAAGTGCGATACGTGTACACTAAGTGACATTGTGGAAAGTCGAGCAAAATATAAAAAATAACATTCATTTTTTATGTAAATCACTTATACTCCTTTGTACAAAATAAATAAAATTTTAGTATTTAAAATGAATGACTTTATACTTCAAAATATCTGTTTAAAATTCTTTGGTTATTCGATTTAAAAATAGATTAAATAATTGTAAATATTATTTTTAAAATTTGATGATTTTTCATTATTTTAAGACGATTGGTAATTGTATCTTATTATTAATAGTACACCGGAGAAGACATACAGATTATTAGTATAGATAAATAATATTCTAGAAAAAAGATCAAATATCATATCAGTTATAATGTATAATATAATATTATGTTTTGTAAAATGATTGTACATCATCGCACGCGATCCATAAATATAGTTTGATAAATATATATAAATATATACTAGCTGACCCGACAAACGTTTTTTGTCATATAAATTATTTCTAGAAAATATTCTGCTAGAAAAAAATAACTAAATTTAATATAAGTGTGTTTGGATGTGGTATATAAGTGTAAGAGGTATGGAGTTCTATGAATGGTGACGGAATATAAAAATGAAAAAATATCAAACATTTATTTTTTTAATAATTTATTGAAATTGATCCTTTAAAATTATATATATCGCTAATTATGACAATATTAGTAAAAAACACTATCAATCTCTTAACAAAACAGAGTGTACAATATTTTATGTTATTCCATCTTTCGCCAACACAAACTGGATGGTTCGAAAGCACGCCACGTATAATTTTCCGTGTGAAACACATGATGTGCTCAAATCTAAGCCACAGACAAACATCATTTGGCCTTGAGACTTATTGATAGTCATTGCAAATACCTATCTAATTTGGAAATTGAAGGCGTTTAAATTGAACTGGTACATATGTTGGTATAATAGGGATTCGTGGTAATAATATATTTTCACCTCAGAATTTGCCATTTAAAATTATGGCTTCGATAACATTTTTCATTCATTTTTTAATGATTAATCGTGTGGCGTTGCACAACCATGGTGGGCTCAAATTATGAAGTAAAATAACCGGAGATCCAACCTCTAGTTGTAAATTATATGGTGGCATGTCTGGTAAATCCAATGAGTTTAAAAATTCTGTTGGATAATTTACAGCTTCAGTAGCGTCGCAAACTGTATCAATACATTTGTATGACACCAAGTCTCCTGGTAACAAATGTTGTGTCTTGAATTCAATTTGTTGACGTCCACATTTTTTGCTGCTAAAATTGCTTTTTCTGCCAGCCACTCATGATTTGTGTATTATTAATGATTGTGCAGAAATCGATTGGTAATTTTATGCATCCAGTTTCATATGTAGTAAATTTCCGATTACCGATATCTAACAATTGTTTTGAGAATCTTCCGCTCGCAGCTTTTTTTTTTGATTGAATCGCAAGTATCGTAATCGTTCGCTCTCTATCTTTACATACATGTCGACCATGAATTGTTGATAAAACTCACAACATTGTAGAATAACGTTATCCTGATAGCATCTAATCATCAACTGATATGCATAATAATCCTTCGAACTAATATTTTTATTTGTTTTGGCACCTGTTACGGGATCTTGTTGTTTAATATTGATGCAATACCCGTCATTTAATACCAAAAATAAAATGAATATTTTTTAAATATTTTTTAATAGTTTTTTAATAGTATTATTTAATAATTAATTTTCAATTGCACAGTTATCGACCATGTCAAAAATTATTAAATTAAATTATTAAACTACGATGTATTAAACAATAGCACTTAGGAGTTTAAAAAATATATAAAAACCTATTCGCAGACCTACCAAATGTATATACAAAATTTCATTAAAATCGGTCAAGCCGTTTAGGAGGAGTATAGTCACAAACACTGTGACACGAGATTTTGATATATATAGATTCATAGATACAGGAAACAGCTGCGGTCATACGGTCCGAGTGCGATGACCTACTCACTAAAAACGATAAAAAATTTTTCTGACACATCGACGGAATTTCTACCAGAAATTATTACACAATTACACGACCGTATGTACTTTATAATCATAAGCCGCAGCAATGATGATGACATTATAATAATATATTGTAACAGTGTGCCTAATTATAGTTGAATCATGTTAAATTGTATACGGTATAATATTATTATATAGCAAATACTCCAGTAGTATAAGTGTCCCCAGAAGATGTGCAAAGAACTCTGAGAGGCGAAGACTTGGGCATGATTTAAGTATCGTTTTAATCGCAGCGCTTAAAATTCAAAACCCAAAGAATTACAGAAGAACAGGGTCCCCTGGTACATGCGTTTAACAACGCCGGGGGACTAGAACCTCTGCAACATAAACTGTGCAGGACTATAAAATACGAATACCTATGTATACACATTACACATATCATATTTGTTATTATTACAGCAACCTCGTTCGCCACTGTATAAAGTACTTATTATGTATTATTTTAGTATACGTGTACTGTGCGACCGGACCAATGCGGTTTCTTTGTACTTGCACACACGAAGTCGACGCAACAATAGTTCTTTTCTCCGGCTCTGCACACCGCACACGGTCACGGGCGTCGAGGTAGGTATACGCACACATTATGACGTGTACGTAATACCGTTGTGTTATGTATCTACATTTATACGAATTGATATATGCCGTACACAGAATACGTAAATAATGTCGTAATGCAGTATGTCAGATATGGTGAAAAATTAAAATGTTGTCGTCAACAAACGTTCCACGTTCTCACACAATGTAATATAAAAACGTAGAATTAAATCGGTGACCACGCGTAGTACCGGACGGTACCAGAGTTGTTATTAGCCGTGTATTTGCATACTATGTACA